TTTCAATTGTTCCAGATAATGCACTTCACAAGGTTGCCTTAGCCACCAAAATAAATGTGATGTTTATAAAACATCGATTCCGGCTGTCTCTGAATGGGTCTCAGAAATTAATACAACATCGCGAAAAGCTCTCTTTGTGGACATAAAGCCGCTCGAATTGATTTACATCTTTTATTATATAACCGAATGACTGGGTAAAGCATTCCAGGAAATAATTTTGCAACAGCGGTATACTTGCATGTTCGTTTTCGGTTCCCAGTACAGAAACAGAACTGGTCTGAGCATACAGAGAAAATAGGAAGCCCTAACAACAACTTTTTACAAAAGTTCGTAATTAAGTACCATGACAACTAACACTACGTTGAGAAGCGTGATTAATCGTTGCCGCAGTAACGCAGCCGAAGCGACGGTTTGTTTCGGAGTCATTTCAGGAAATGGAGAGGATGAAAAAGAAGGATCCGAAACACATTGCTTCCATTTATACCCGGCTTTCGGATCATACAAGGTGAGATTTTGACGACCCGTAAAATAATGCCGCAAATATGGCGCATAGAGTTCTGTAATATCATGCTGAGCATCGGATGCCTGTGCCACCAACATCTCATCGCCACTGGTTAGCAGGTCGAACACGCAGGCATCGAAGAATGCATCCGTCACGTTACTGTTTCCACACCGATCTAAATTTTTATCTTTATCACTTCCTGCAAGACTAATTAATGACTTTTCCCTTCCCTTCCTAGACAAGGCGGGTAGGATAAAATTCAAATACAAGCCCGGGAATGCGTCAGCCCCTCCTCGGGAGAACAGTATAAAAAGGACAGGAACCCTCAGTCGGAATCCTGGTAGTTCGGACGTCTCATCTACTCGGTCTCGACCGGACTTATCTATAAGTTTTTTTTCGTCTACTTCGACTCAGCTGTGACTCGACACCGCTTCGACACAGCCTCAACGGAGTGACGACTCATTGGCTGCGATTGCTCCGTCGAGGATCATACGTGTCATCCAGGTGCGCGTCCCTTCGTCCCCCTTTATAACGGCTCCACTATACGGGTGGCACATGCAGACATTGCTTAGTCGCTGAAGACTGATCGCTAGACGTGCTCTTAACAGCAATCCGTTACACTTGGCTCCTGATCTCTGGCCACACACGCGTATCAAACTCGGCTGTACTAGCAACGGACTCATTACCAAAAAGTCAACATAATTATACACTACCACTCAACTACGTTCCAACATACCCCTCTGGGTCTTTGCCGTACACAGCACGTCTCATGTCCGCATCACGCTTCCACTACGCATACCATTCGGCACACATCAGCGTAAGTTAACATTCATTAAAATATTATATAAATCTTACTCAATGCAAAAAAAAGAAAATTTATAATTCCAACCACTTCTTTACTTTTATATCTTGAAATGCTGACAGCTGAAAAATGTTCTTTTCTGGGGACAGAGGAAAAGGAGTGAAGAAGAGGAAGATGAAAAGCTTGCAGCAACTTTGGGAGCAAAAAGGAAGGAAATGAAGATTTTTTCTGTAGCTTGCTGACCTGATGAAAATCACTGTACTGCACCGGTTACAACCACATACTCTCAGTGTGCTACGTGAACTGCTGAATCGATACCTGCGGCTGGACAAACGAATGTATGTATAAACAATGAGTGAATAGACGGGACTCACCAATGGCTATTTTGAGTGGCGTTTTTATACGCACACCGTAACATCTTGTGAATGAGATTGGATTCGCGAGTGCCTCCTCGAGCCTCACTGAGTCACTGCAGCTGCAACCGCTTGTACAGATGTCAAAATCATCGTCCATTTGTTCCTGCAATCTCACACATTCACCGCATTTTCGAAACAACAGTCAGAGCAAAGCTCAGACAAAATTCAGCTTTAATTTCTCTTTATCACCGAATAGCCATAAAACTTTTTTCATTAGACTGACACAAGTTGAGACATACAAAATACAATGATCACCCAAACCATCAGTGGCGGTATTAAAAATTAGTGGTGTTACTTGGGTGTTCCCAAATACTGGGGACGGATATGCCAGAGTCTTTGAACTTGGGCCGCACACCATCAACTGTTAATACCCATTAAATCATAAGCAGCATCCACTCCCTGCTCGATGTATATGCGCCGCTTCTTGGAGACATATAATTGGAAAAAATGAAAAACAATCAATTTAAAGCCCACGTAGCGACGCATCAGGCTTTCCAGTGCAATTATGCGTTTTCGCGCTGAGCTTAAAGCAATCAGAGCATTAAGAGCATCAATGGCCACTGCTTTATAGTTTAGCTTGTGCATTCATGTTTACTGCATTTTGGCTTTTTTGTGCATGCGGAAGAAAATGACGTTGGCTTGGAAAGTAGTCTTGCATCATGCGGCCACGTGAAACAACCTCCAACATACACGATTACCGTAAATTTTATACGCGGGGAAACGAAGAGTTTCTGGTTCTCGTCGCTCGGTAAAACTGCAGAATGGGCAGTGAACAGGATTTCGATAGAGGATAACCAAATGCAAGCAAAATGCACTTGCTATAATACTGAGCATGCGTCGTGTCCATTTGCAGAAAACTTAGCTCCCAAGGCAAATACAGGCCACACCCATACAGAAAATTCTTGCAAAATTTCAGTTTCGCGGCCTATCTGGTACTCGAATTTCTCATAGTCCTGAGACATGACGGAAGTGCAATTCAAATTTATATTTAAATGTGTGGGTTCTCAGATGGACAATAAATACCCTGCCAAAATTACAGCTGCTATTTTGCGGCTAGTTTTCGAACTGGCATTGCGCCAACTTCTTAGCTCACACTTTGTTATACTTTTTTGCATATATACAAATTGCAAAAACGCATATTGGGAAGAGGCTATCTGCATGTTTGGGTCTGTGTGTTCGCATTTTCCGTCACCCACTTTCAACTCGAGAGCCAGGAAAGCTAGATCGCTGAAACATTGGAAGTTTGTGCTCATAACATACGCGACCCTCCCGTTTTAATTCCATCCCCCGCGGACGCCTGGATGCCGCGTACGGACGCTTTAAAAAAAATGCAAATTTTTTGGCAGGAATGCGATCTCGGGAATCACATGAGCTAAGGGGCTGAAACTTTGTAGAGTATTTCCTGTGTATGTACTAGCTAAAAATTTCAAATTCAGACCCAGGTATGCGTAGTACTCACGTAAGGGCGTATGAAAGTTTTAGAGAGGGAATTGCTAACTCGGGTACCAGGAAAGCTAGAAAATTGAAGTTTTGGGAGGATGTTCTCTATCCAAGTACAACTCAAATATTTCAGATTCAGCCCCAAGCTATGCACGGTACTCGCGTAAGAGCGTATGAAAGTTTCTGCAGGAAAATTACTAACTCGGCAACCAGAAGAGTTGGAAGGCTGGAACTTCAGGTGGTTGTTCCCTGTCTACGTGCAATTTAAAAATTTCAAATTCAGCTTTCCATGCACGTGGAGTACCCAAGTACCGTCATGTGTTTTGGCGGGAAAATTGCTAAGTCGACAACCAGAAAGGCTGGAAAGCTGAGATTTTGAGGGAATGTTTCCTGTCCAAGCACAACTTAAGTATTTCAAATTCAGCCCTGAGTTATACGTGGTTCTTAAGTACGGGCACTTAGAAGTTTTGATGAAAGCATTTCTCACTGAACAACTAGGTTACTTTTAAAAAATGACTGTTAGATGGAAATTGTACACTTGCTTTGCAAAATTTATGGTAATTTATGCTAGCGACCGCAAAAGTAGGTGTAAAGCAACAGCCATTCATACAGTTAATGATCTGAGTAATTCAAATCCGGTGCAAAAACGCATGATCGCACGCGCCCGCCCGCTGCATTCCAGCCTGGGTTAGAGAATGTC